AATTAATCCATAATACTCTTAAGTAAGAGGAGAAAGCACTTTTACACTGATTACACGAAATTGAGACTTTCGCGACAAAAAAAGAAAAAGAAAAAAAAGAGAAAATTGAAAAAACAGTAAGAGATTTAGGGAGTCGTGTTCCTTACGTTTTAAATTGGCGGTATTGCCGTTTCCACGAGGAAACAATATTTTGCATCAACATGTACTGATTATGTAAGAGATTGTATTTACTTGCACAAACAAAATAAGAATTGAATAACAGAAAAACTTATGGCTCCTTTTCTTCTCTTTTCCTTTCTTTTTTTTTTCATCCAGTGATCTAACTATGTATACAATTATTAACGTACACAATAATAAATTAGAAATTTATTACCTAATCATGAGCGAAGTTTACATTTAAATTTAAAAAAATCAATATCTTTTTACTTTCTTTAAAAATTGTAATCAAAAGAAACAAAAAAAGAGGTAAAAATTCAATTGCAAGAATTATGTTGCCATATTGAAAATATTTATTCACCTACGTGGGATCCGGTCTGAAATATAAAACGAATTATATCAAAGGTTTATTCTTTATATTGTACAGAATTTCATCAAGGTTATAGGGCGCGTAGCGGACTGCAATACATATTCTCATAAAAAAAAGACTTCTGAAAACATCAGTTTGAATAAAGATATACGAGATCGATATACGGTAGTGAATGAATTTGTAAACCGTAAAACCATTCCTCTATGGCTACTATACATCGTTTCTCATTATTCGTAAAAATATGGTGTTTGTATAGCATCGTTTACATCACAATGTCGCAGAGGAACATTGCATCATGAGTAAGACACGTTAAACGATCGGTTTCGCAATTGGAACAAGAGAAAAGATTTATATAAATACTTTACATAGTCTCCTTGTTCATGCTTATGAATTTCTGATTCCAAGCGCCTGTTCCAATTCCGCGCGTTTCTGTTGGACCTTCGTGTAAAAATATCGGCACACAGCTTCCTGGGCCCACGGTTGATAATAAAATTCTGCTCTACGTTCCTCTTCCGGGTTACCAACCACGTCTATCATTGTCTTCAAGTCTCTCGTTTGCGATATAATCCATTTGTTGATGAACTGTTGAGGGTCTTTGGCAAAACTCAAGAAGAACTCCCGGTTCGTTTTTAATTGATTAATCGTCTCTACTGTTTCGTGAATTTTATTGTCGAGACTTTGAATCTCCTGTTGGCTCGCGGTGGACAGTAGAAAATTATTCATTTGCGTTTTTAACGTGTCATCGACCTCCACTTCTATGTCATAACATGCGGTCTGTTTCGTTTCTGTACCTGATGAAACAAACGGGTTATCTTTCATTATTACTGAAAATTATAGAAGACAGCACGTATTGATTGATTTTTACTGACAGATACCTTCGACGCTAATAACGTGGTTGATTACAATGGGATCCGGAGGATGAAGCAATGGATTTAAACGCTGTGGTATCTCTGCAAATTTCATCCTTGAGCAGGCGAATATTTGCTCCAGATATTTATCACAGTTTATGAATTCCCTTTCGTGACTGTCTTGAAGCTTGTGTGTCTTTATGTACTGCCAGAGAGCAGAAATAATGACAGGCCGCGTTTGGGTATGTACACCTAGAAGTCGGGCTAATCTGGGATCTAGTTTAAACTGGAACCAAAAAAATCTGTTAAATTTCAATTTGAATCAACTTGGAAATTTAGACTCAATTTAAGTTAAGAAATCAGAGTTACCTGTAAGGGTTGGTAGTCGAGAAGCAAGAGAATAGTGCATCGAACATTTTTATCTCCAGGTCTTTTCACTTGAAAACCATCAGTTTCTTGCGTAGTCAATGTACGGTGCCATTCAACCAAGTGATTGTCAGGTCCATACAGATCTTTATCCAATTCTATAACTAGACTTTTAAAAAAGGAAGAGAACTTCCTCTTCACCTAAAAAAATCATTAATGATATAAATGAATTATCTTTCGTTTAAATGATCTATGATTTTCTCTTCGAAGATAAAATTGATTTTTACTTTGTTGGGATCATTTTTCGTATCGTCTAAGAGTCGTCCCTCAACTCTAAGTTCCCAAGAAGCGACTGAACCTTCTTCACCTTCGCCAGCTTCTTTCGCCGGATAAAACGTATTCGAAATGAATATTCGCAGTTTTCTTTTTTGTTTCATTGGACGTTTCAATGCTTCTTGTATATCTAGTCGCTTTCGCATTATAGTTGCGTCCAGTTTTCTCTCAAACGCGAGTAAATCCATGTAAGCCTGAGATTCAGGCACTAGATCACGTACTTTTTGCGGTAGTATTTTGTCTGCCAGCTTTTTCTTCTTCTTGGATGTGGAATGTGAAAAATCACTGTTCCAAAAATACCTATATGAGTTTGTGTAAAAATCATAGATTCAAAAATCAATAAACCAATTTTGAAGCTTATGAAATGCAGTGAAGTTCCTGGTGAATTCGGTGAATGGTTTCTTTTCGACATATTGATGATAACGAGCAAATTAATAATTCCAAAAAAATTAAATCAAATTGATAAAATTAAATTGACATATTGCTTTTTGAAGTATATGAAATCATAGATAATAAAAGTTAAATCTACGTTTAGTAGTTAATGTACAATAGGTTAATGAGCAAAATAATATAAAACATGAATGCAGAGTTAAACAAAAACATGCAGCGTTAGTGCACTTACGGTTTTTGTTGTGACATGGGAATACGTTGATCCGCGCTCCTTTTTCCAACTGGTGGAGTAGGCATTGGTCCTTGACGCATATTTGAATAAGGTTGATTCGCTCTTATTATACTAGCTGGACCAGGGCCTGCATTAGCCATTTGGGGAGGTGGAGTAAATCCAGATCTCTGCTGCATCTGTATAAAAATTAGTCTGTATGTTCCTTGTTGTTCCAGTTAATTGAACCACTTGGATTCTAGTATACTCACAGGAAAGTTTGGGCCAGAATACTGGCGTAAATTAGGAGGTACAGATGACGCCGCATACCTTTGTGGCGGAGGGCCGTTATTCCCTGTATTTGGTACAGGAAACCTTTGTGCCATGTCTTTTTTCTGTGTGTGTTATCCTATTGATTGACATGAACAATTACTTTTACACATACATGTATTTTTCTACAGCTTAACATGAACAAAAGAGTTTGAATGAAATTATATCATACTTTATTATACAACAGAATTGCACGAATTGCTATCAAGATGTATAATGTTTCATTACAGTAAGAAAGTTTATTTACATGTGCTGTACATAAAGATCATTTACTTTCACACGTGAGAGTGAATGGATGGTGTTTTTTTAAACAAACATTGCGACTTCACTGTCAAACTACTGAGAGAAAACAAAAACATAACCTCTAAATGCGTCTAATTACAACCTTACACAGACCATGATTAATCGCGTTGTTTTCCTAAGTATCGTAGTGTCGATAACAAATTAGTGAAATTCAAGAAACAATTAGCAGAAATGAAAAGAAAACGAATGTTCTTCGGACGTTCGTCAGAGTCGGGTGCATTTCTCTTCAGAAGCACAGTTTCACTCGGCACGCTCAAAACTGTAATACTTTGCGACTTGACACAGACCGAGGTACAGAAAAAGAAAGAAAAGAAACGAATTCGACGAATAATGGAAAGACCACCTACGTTCCAAAAACTTCTATACACTAGCAAGCGGGGTTAGCAGCTCCAGAAAAAGCGGCGGATTATACATAAATAATTCTTCGCTTCTGCGAGAGGGCGCCACAACAAATACACTTTGCACTGCCGAATAATTTCCCCTCTGCGAAAGACAGATTCTGTTAAATTCGAAGATTACGCTAATAAAGTATCTCTCTCGTGTTAAATCTTTCCCCAATTTCATTCATTCATTAATTGTTTATCGAAGATTTTATTCATAATCTGCCACGAATGGAATAATGAAACGAAGCGGTCAAATCGGGATACGAAGAAAAACTTTTGCATCAGTTCTTTTAAATTTAAGATAAAATTGGCAGCAAGTGCAACGATAAATTTCGAAGATGTGAATTTCCCAAATTCCTTATAGTAACATCTCTATGAATTTGTTCCAACATTAAATAAATGATTAATAGACAGTAATAATAGAATACCTTGAATACCACCTGCGCACGCGGGTTCACAAGAAAACAATAATTAATCATAAGATGCGTGGGAATTTAATTCCGGATTCCCGGCAGAAAACGCGCTCGACGTCGAGGCGTCGAGACGACTGTGACGCGATCGTCCGAAAAGTCGCAAAGAAGGATAACGATACTCGACTCGCGATTACGTGTCCGAAGTGGCTGAAATTATTGGAATTCGACGAAAATTTTCGCACGTTAACGACGAAGGGGAGAATGGAAATACACAGGATGCCATGATTATATTTAAACTTGAGTCAGTAGCCAGCGATTTCGCCGGTGAATAAGTATTCCATATTATTCGAATGAAAGTCACGTTCATTGCGCAACCTCCACCATTATCGTCCCCATTGTTTCAAATAAACATTTAAAGAAACGGTGCATGATTCATCATATTATTATTCGATCTTCAGTAGAACCGTCTCTAATGCTTATTAGTTATTTAAAATGGCCATTCGTAAGCTAAGATCTCGTCAAACGCTGGTTAAGCACTTTATCTCGTTGATCCTCTATTTCTTCAAATAATTCAGACTACTAAGCTACATTTCGTCAACTGACTGCAGGATAAGCATTTTCTTCTCTCATAACTGTTTTCTTCAATTTCGTACATGTTTCATATTTCGATCGAAAAAGTACTCTTGACCAAACACTTTTAAATCGCTCGTGTTTTGGCGGGCTTTCATCCTCGATCCGTTTGGCTCGTCACATAAATTCAAAAAGTGGATCAACGTAATAATAACTCGACCCATATAACGGTTGGTTATTTAAAGAAAAAACTTTGTGACACTTTTGAGCAAACCAATTTCGTTTCTCTCGTCTTTTTTTTTTCTTTTTTTTTTTTTTTGTTGAATATTTAGAGCAGCGTAGAATCCAGCGGGGGAGAGTTTTTGAGTAACAATATGGCGGCTTGCGGATGGAACTTTAGGAATATAATATGGAACGAAACAAAGAAAAAAAAAAAATTGTTATCTTCGTAAATTGTAGTTGTAGTTAGTAACAATTGTGGTTTCTAACGATAAAGTTGAAAATAATAAATTACTAGACTTTCGATCTTCACGTTCAATTTTAATTTCAAATTTTAAATCTACGGAGCACAGAAATTTATTGTAACTTAGAATTTCCTAAAAATTTAATCGCAAAATTTGCACTGTACTTTAAATAGTAGTTAATTCAATTTCCGGATTTAAATTAATTCAAGTTTAGCGATTTATTTATAGAATTCGAGTTTTATTGGCAGTTGCATTATCTGCTGTGCTATTAAATAGCTAATTTTAACGCGAGTTAAACTATTAAAAACATGGAAACAGGCAAAACAGGCAGTGAATAAGTAATACGACCAAGAAAACGGAAGGAGAATTGTCTCGAATTAGTCAGCCTCTCGATCTATTACCACCCACAGTGCGCAGTGCGCACTTCTACTGAAACAGATTAAACGAAACATCAGGAAGAAATATTATTACAATTTAATAGAGAATGTTAGAAACACGAATACATATGAGTCATTAAACAAATTTATATTTGACTAATTTTTATAATATTTTACAACATAGTGCACTTGATGTTGTTATTTATAAAGGATCTATATACTGTATCATACAAATTTTAAGGTTTTGCATGAAAGGAATTTGGAAATTAGTACAACAGAAATTTGAAATTTGAGAAATTCCGAGGGATTCCAAACTTTAGAAATTCGTGCAACGGAAATTCGTAGGAGTAGTTTAATAAAAATCATCTACCCACAAAATTTCACGTTTATACCAATTCACAGTCAAAGCCACTAGTACGCAAATAGCTCACCCCATATCCAAAGCTTCAGTAATTCCGAAACCACCCTTATCTTTCTTCTAATCTTTAAACCACGTTAATCACCTCACCCACTCACTGTAACGTAACGACTATAAACAAACGAACGTCTGATGCGCAAAGTGACTTGCTAATTCCAACCAAATATGACCTGCCGAATTCTTGTCCATTGCACGTGTATCGCAACGACTCTCGTGGAGACGCAGCTTGGCAGCCACGATTTTGGAAATCCTACGTCCAAGTGAATAAGCTGCTAATATTAGATCGTCGAAAACTGTGGAAAGCACGCACTCATACACTGATAAACATAGGTACATGGACAGCACGTGTAACGTTGTGTTTTTCGAAACATAGGCAGCCACCACCCATGTTGGACAGTTTCCTCCAAAGCGTGGGCCGTGTTCCCGCCATCTCCGCGGAGTATAAGAGGGACCAGCACTAGGACCAAGCACTTCAGTCCTCTCTCAACAAGCGTCACGAGGTACAAGGATGGCTCTCGAACGTCAAGTGCGCGCCAAGGTATGAACACGAGGTTGAACACCTTTGTGCATCGTGCAAGTACATCTCTTACCTCGTGGAAGAATCTGCGACCATTTCCCATTGTCGCGTGGAATTCCCAGATCGTTGGAATCGCGCTCGATTCAGAATGGCAGTCTGAAAATTCGGAGATCTGCTGTGAATTTATTTACAGTGAATGTTCAAACGCAACCGCTCGGAGGCGCTTCCGCGACGCGAATCCTTTTGAATTTGTGTCGCAGAAATTTTTCAATTTCCAATCACTTTCGAATTTTCACGACATGCGACGTTTGATCTTGATTTCGAAATTTTCAAATTTCTTTAAGTTTCTCACAAATTTTTGGAATTCCGATTTTTACAGTTGTTCGATGTAAATCTCTCTCTGCATTTCTATTCTAGACGTCGAACGTGAGAACAGGGTGTGCTGAATGCTGGCGTGTTTGATCGGTGAATTGAAACAAATCATTGTGGATTTTATTCTCGGTTTTAGTGTCCCATTGATTTGACAATTACTCGTTGGGAAAAGTCTTGACAGAGAAATGTAACTTTTAGATACGACTGTAAATTGGCTTTTTTTTAGATCAAAATTGTCCAACGATCTCAAATTAATATTTAGCATACTTTTTAATTGAATTTCGCGATGATTAAACAGTGACTAGATTTGATTGTCCCATTGTAGATCGCTGCAAAGCGTAACCCAGAACAGGAAAAAGAAGCCCAAGAATGGGTCGAAAGCATTCTGGGCAAAAAGTTCCCACCAGGTGAGGCCTTCGAAGACGTCATCAAGGATGGACAGGTGTTGTGTCATCTGATGAACAAGATCTCCCCTGGATCCATTTCCAAGATCAATACCACTGGCGGACAATTCAAAATGATGGAGAACATCAACGCGTAAGCTTATGTTATAAATAATTTCTAATTACAAATTAGTTGGAGATTTTTTATTTAGTCACGTTTCTAGAAAATTTGAATTAGCAAAGGCACACGAAGTATTAAAGTATTAAATCTCTAAGTAACATTTAATGGAAATAATCTTCAATATTCGGCATTTAACCGGGAATATTTTACTCATAGAAAATAAAGAAATTTTAACTCAAATAAAATAAAGTACTATTTTGTATCATTATTAGCTTTCAAAAAGCTCTGAAAGACTATGGCGTGGCCGACGTTGATGTGTTCCAAACGGTCGACTTGTGGGAGAAGAAAGACATTGCACAGGTGGTGACGACTCTTTTTGCTCTTGGTCGTACGGTAAGTTTTACTAAAAATTAGGTTAACGGTATTTAGTACCAGCCGAGTGATGCAATTAGGGAATCGAGTGGATCAGTCCATTTTCAACCATTGTAATACCACTGAATGTCATAATTTAAATTCCATGTTAAAATGCTTATAATACTTCCAATATCACTTTCCAAAAAGTGTTAGTCTTCGATTATTACCAAATTTAAAAATTTCCACGCCGTCATTTCGAATTTTAATTTCCAAATTATTCCTATATTTTCGATGAGTTTCAATCTTTGGAATCGCTCTTCAAAATTCGAATAAACGTTCAATAAAATGCCCCTCGCTTTTCCGTTTTGTAGACGTACAAGCACCCAGAATGGAAAGGACCATATTTAGGACCTAAGCCAGCTGATGAGTGCAAACGCGAGTTCACCGAGGAACAATTGCGCGCTGGTGAGACAATGATCGGTCTACAGGCCGGTTCAAATAAGGGTGCCACCCAATCTGGCCAAAGTATTGGTGCCACCCGTAAGATCCTCCTAGGAAAATAAGTCAACAAGCGTTTAGATTCAAGAATGAATTTACATCTTGTATGTACATGTACATAAACCCACGCACACATATATATTATGTATTTATTTTATATTTTGTAATTAAATAATATATATATATATATTTTATTGATTAACAACAAAATCTTCATTAAATCTCCCTTCATTAATCTGTCCTTATTGTAGGTCTCACTGTCGAGAGATCGTCTCGTTTATTCGAAATTTTCCACTGATATCTAGAATCTTCTTTGACCGTTAAGTGTAAAAATACAAAGCAAAATGGCGGACGACGAAGCGGACACGAGCGATAACAATGTTTTTTTTTAAATTTCTGGCAGTATTTTATAGAATAGCATCAACATCCAGTCTTCTCGCGTCTTTTTCATCTCTATAATACGACTCTCCATTTGCCGGACGATTTACAATTGTTTTCGAAACTTCAAACGGCAGATCTCGTTCCTCATAGTTTCTAGGTTAATTTCCGTTTCTTGCGTTGTCGCTGATGCGTCTGATTGAGAATTCGACTCGGCCAGTATCACGTTAATTATTTAGAATAATCGAAATTTGTTTGAGAGAAAGATGTTTCACGGAATTCTGGCAAATTGCGATGACGTTCTTTGGGGATATAATTAGAAACAACAGAGATAAAAATATACCAGTGCTAGAAGGATGGTTTACAGAATGTCTAGATTCCTGATTGAAAAGCAAACAGCAGGAATAATTCTGTAGGAGTTCGTTAATGCGCAAAGGCAGGGAAATTTGTTAAAAGCATTTTGCTATTAAGCGTTAAAAGCAATTTGTTAAAAGCGCGAACAACTGTTTGTTGTACTCGTTAAATTTGCGATCAATTTTCACATAATGCCAATTCCACTTCGGTGTTGTTTCAGTTTTGAATTGCTGCCACATGTGTGCATTTGACATGCAGAATGAATACTTCTTTCTAGTGCTTCGTACGTTCATTGTTCTAGTGAATGTAACTATTGTTGTTGTTTTGGAGCTGTCGAAACTTTTCATTCAGCGGAATGTTAATAAAAATATTAACAAGAATAAGATTGTGGTGAATTTACTTAAAAAACATATAAAATTAGTAGCATACCCTGTTTTAGAGGATAATTTCGAAATCTTTAATTCAAATGTTACAGGAAATTAGGAAATAAAGTAGGAAATTGGAAGCTGAGAAACTTTAGATTTCAGGAATATTTCGAGTCTTAAATTATTTCTAATTTAAGCGCATCAGCTTAAAAAAAAAAAAAAAAAATTACGATAATGTTTAACTTTCGCTATTGCAGGGAAAATTGTTGCGAATTAATTCCTAAACACACGCGTCCTTTTGGTAAAATTGGTAGAGGAACAGTTTTCTGGCAGCAAATAACAGGTGGAAGTAAAATTGAATCGCAACATGTCCGTCTAGCGATACGAAAATAGTGATATTATAATTCGCATTGTGTATCGTAGTTGTGCACATAGTCGCGGCAAGATTCGTGAGTTTTGGCACGGCCTTCGTCGTAACAGATCGGTCTAAAATTATTTTCGTTCCTTCCAGATGCGTGAATCTACGTCGTATATAATTTTGGAGAAACGTCTTCCATCGTCGTCCCTAATAACCTTCGACATTAATGGCCGTTTTCGATTTAGCGAGAGCTTAAGATTTAAGTAATTCCATCACGAATAATTAAACACATCATGAAATAAGTTTGGATATATTTGTGGATGTTATTTACAAAATGAAAAATTATTGTTTAGTGCCAAGTATAAATTATATTTATTTATTTATTTTTTTTAAATAAAATATTTGTTTCCGAATTCAAAGAATTAATAATTTAATAAACACAAAAATTCGAATTTTTCAGAACGGTAGCTGAAGTTCAAGGTCGTAGTAATTAGAAGAGTATAGCAGGAATTTTGCAGGCAGTAAAATGTAATGTTCTGATGATCTATATACAGATCAATTTTGACGCGACCAGCTATAATAAATCTGTGGATAAAGATAGGAATTATTTCATGGTTAGGTGCGAATATACAGTTGTATATATTTTGAACGAATATCTTTCGTCTGATTTGTTGCTTTTCGAAATTTCTTGATAGGAAGGAAATAAAAAAAGAAGCATAGAATTTATAAATAATTCATAGGAAGAAAGTAAACAAGAAGCATAGAATTTATAAATAATTCATAGGAAGAAAATAAAAAGGAAGCATAGAATTTATAAAATAAGGAAGAAAAAGATTAACGAAAACGTCTTAGTTTTTATTTTAAGTTTTATTTCCCCTCATTTGTTTATCACATTATTACTTGTTATTGCTTTTCCTCAAGTTAGAAGCTTTATTATTACATTAATGACAAAATTGTTATAAAAAATTTCTGAGCTTAATTTCTGATTTTTTCATATAAATTAACTTTCGTGTAAAAATAGGTTTCTATGTCAAGATAATTACTCTTTATAATTATATATTATAGAAATGGAAAATATCGTATAAATATTTAAACGTACTAGACATTGTTCTTTGTGTGAAATATTGAAATAATATTAGTTGAAATAATATAAAATTTAATGGACTGTACTTTTCATTGGAATTTCAATATTAATTTTATCATCGTACGACTTTCCAAATCGTACGATGTTCATGTTCGTTCAAAGAAGATGGCACTACATGGTGGATAACGTAATTGCAAAAATATCGCCTGTGTTTCATGTAACGTATCGTTTCACAATATAGTTGAAGCTTTATTGCAAGATGGCACTGCGTAAACCAAACCAATTTAAAATTGCCTTTAAAATTCTGGTGTAAAAAATAAAAGAGTATGTCCGGATAAACAATGTTTAATTATTGAAACATTCCTCGGAACAAAAGTAAGTATGTGTAAAGGCTTACTTTATTTTCAATTTTTTCTAAAATTTTGCTTTCAACTAGAAAACAGAGATAGAGATTATCTAAATAATTTCATTTCCAGATTGAAAACAGGGGCAGGGAAGGGGGAAAGAAAAAAGGTCTAATAATGGCGGGAAAATCTACTTTCAAGTGGCCGAACATTCTCATGATAAGTCTTTCGTCTCTGAAATCCATTTCATTTCCTGGAACGACACGCAAGCACGATCGTTGATGGTTTCAAGTGACATACGTGGCAAATAAGCAGGAGACATATGATAAACAAGTGTGTAATACGTTGATTGAAAAATGGCCAGCGAACTTCGGAATGAGATGTCGTGGCTGGCTGAAACTTTTACTTGCCGGTGAAATAAAATGAAATGAAGTTGACCAGGGTAGGAAACGTTGCTCTCAGGAATAGACATGATCGAGGTGGTCGTTCTCATTTCTTACATACTTGGCGTGAGAGGCAACTGTGCCTTTTGATATGGCGCCAGCCATAGTCGTAGCATCCGGCAGCAGCAGCAGCAGCAGGTTTTAATTTAAAATCCTTTCCCTCCGGTATTCTCCAAGACCGGTACAGAGTTAATTTGAGTGATTTCGTATTGGATTTCTAGCAACAAGCCGTCTCTTACCGAGAGATTTCCTAATTTACGAATCTTGGCACTGGTCGGTTGTCGCACGATGCGCGATTTAAATATTATAGCGAGCTAACGAGATTGTAAACAATGGCAGCAACGGGATATTTTTGACACATTGTGAATGTGCGCTCGAGTTAAACGGCACGAACGGGGCGAGACAATTTTTTTGAATGAGATCTTCAGATTTTGCTCAGTTCTGCTTAATTCAATTTTTTTGTCGGCAAGAATGAACATTTTCTCGAAATTTCGTACTTACGATCTGGAAATTACGAGAATCTGAATGTCGAGTTCGATTTGAATATGATATTTCAAAATTTCAGAATTTGAATTTAAAATTAGAAATTATTGTTTCACGCAAGTATTTAAATCTTGTGCTTTGAAATAATCGTCCCTTCACTCGAGGTGCTTTTAGATGCGCAAGATAGTAGTTAATGAGGTATATTATTCCGATCATTTTTCATGTCAACTATAGTACATTATTCCTGAATTCGTGTTACATCGCGGATGCAATTTCTGGCATTTGTCTGCCGTTCTTCAGAAACTGCATATGACACACGAATTTTTCGCACGACATGTTCAGATTTCACCAGGCAAAATGGCGGGCCAACTTCTTTCGAATCGAAATTACGTTCTTCCTCGGTAACTTGATCGATCCTATCGGTAATATTTACTTTAGTTTGTACCACGGTCTTTAACAAAAAAAAATGATATAAAAAGATGTAGTAAAAAAGTTCCTAGGGAACTGTGTCTAGGGATCCCTAGATCATTATCGACAATTTGTCTGAAGAGTTATTTCCTTCCCCCCCCCCCCCCAATTCAGATGATAAAACCAATCTCTTCATCACTCGATGGAACCAAAATTTTTGGATCATGTCTCAATAGCAACAATAAGAAGAGAATTTTCTTAAAATCCTAAAACTTACAAACTGTCCCTACTTTGGTACCAATCGTTCAATTATACGTACAACCGTCCCTAGAAACGCAACTACAACACTTGGAAGAAATTCCGAAAGCGCACGATTGGCAAATGATTAAAAATATATTTCCAGGACGATCGAGCTGAAGCTCAAGCTTTTTAATTTCGTCACGCGACCAGGTTTGCGTAACGCGTCCGCGGCGGAGTCCAGGGCGATTCGCGTGCGAGTCCGAATCATTATGTCACTCGAGTGTAACAAGTGAGCAGTTGGAATTGGCAGCCAGCGGGGGAATTATTAAATCGGCTGTGCAGAAGAGTCGAAGGGGCGGTGTATTTCAGCGCTTAGGTTACCTTGAAAAATATTCGTCACCGCGAGATCGTCGGGCGCGCGAGAGCGCGTTGTCACGGCTACATGAAAAACTGGGCCGGCTGCCTAACTTCTAGCTTGCCTTTCTATTATCGGATCCCTATCAGATATCATCATTATTGAGGGAACTTTATTGGCCACCGAAATACCCGCGGCTGCGAAATAAATTGTCGCACGTGCGACAAGGGCCGACTAATCTGCTTTGTCACGTTTAACGAATGCGTTAACGAGCGATTAACGAGCATGGAATCCGCTTTGAAGAATCGATCCACGAGAGACTCGAGACCTAGAGGCCAATGCGTATTAAATCAGGACAGATTGTTGTCGAGTATGAACGCAGGTTAGGGAAAAACGTG